TGTACAATGCAGTGCTTCGGCCGTAGTAGAATCACTTCTCATTATTTCTGTAAAACATGTTATGAAGTCACGTCTCTTAAAATCAAATAACTTCTTACTAAAGTTTTTTAACAACAGTTTATTTCCTATTTGCCCTCTCATTAATCAAATCTTTATATGATAACTATAAAATTGTAAACTTTATATTCAATTGAACATTTAGAACAATTTTATTATACTAAATCTTAATTTTTTTCATGTTCGTGAATGATAAATAGTTAAACCGATTAATATATTTCATGATAAAGGATTAAATCATGTTTTGTTAATTATGCTCAAGCACTAATAAAATGTCATACAATACAAGCTGCAACATTGATTTCAATGAAAACGTCATGTAATATGTTTTTATTTCTACATGGGATGAAGAAGAATCAGTGAAAAAGAAAAACTATCGTTACGAGTAACATAGATAGTATACGTTTTCACAAATAACGATCCAAAAATTTTGCTTCAGATCGATTTTATTGCTTAGAATGTGTCTTTGTAACTTTCTAAGTCTTTTTTTGCATATTATATAATCACCTTGCTGATGATTCCCTATGCTTAACGTTTTCCATGATGAAAAAACTTACTGACTCTTTTTTATCATACTTGACAATGTTGTTTGCTTAAGAGGAGAAGAAGTAAAATCTTCAATCTCACATTGTATTCTGCCTCTTGCGAATACTATCTTGCAATCAGTCAAAAAAAAATAATTAAACTATTGTTGGTAGAGAATGCAGTGATCTACAGTATTGTTTCTCATTCCCATAGGTAGTCACTTATTGATGCGTAGGAGTAAGAAAAACGAAGTACTAAGAGACTGAAAAGAAATATAAGCGATGGATTACATTTGTGCTTTTGCTTCCTTTGATGTTAATTAATTTCAATAAAAAGCATATTCTTCAAAAGAAAAGGTTTTTGTCAATCTATTAGTTAGAATAATCGATGAGCACGAAAAAAAAATACTGAGATGGTCAATTTTTTTTAAACACAATCTGAAAAGAATATTGAAGTATATAAGGGTAGAAATTCAGACCATCCCATTCTCCACAGACTACTGTAATAGAAATGACCAAGAAGTCAAAGTTCACTGCAAAATCAGTATAATAGTTGTCCTTTATATTTCTTTCACATTCACTGCAATATTTTTTTGCGATTTATATCTTTCATTATCGGCACATTGTGCTATTTTATACTTTATCTTGACATGAGAAAAAAACTGATCCTTCTTTCATCGAATAATTAAAAACAATGTAAAACGAAAACTATCATCATTTTGTTTGTTTAAAATAGGATTTTGAATATTTTAGTGCCAGCATGATTTAATGCTTATTATTTTTGGATCAGGCTAAACTGTCTATTGTTCTAAAGTACTAAATACGAATACCCATTTCAAAAAAGAAAAAGGTTGAGTATTTTTCAAATAACTTCCGATAGATACAAGATAGAAAGCTGCGATTTTCATCGTTCGAAAGACGACATAAAATTGCATCGAACTGTATATATCACATTTGTCTAAAATAGTTTCTCAAGAGTTCTAGCCGAGTTTTTCCAAAAAATTGATGATTTTTCATAGATTGAAGCGACGCGCTTTTTGCTAAAAAGTACAAAAAGAAGCCGATTTTTGGTGAAAATTGGGTGAAAAAAAGCTTAGTAAAATATATATAACTCACGATAGATTGTAACCATTAAAACGGATTTGCACAGTTTGAAGATCTTTAGTTGGTGGTTCTAATGCACTCATCAAAATCAAATTCTTGAAACTTTCACACGACTAAAGATTTTATTTTCGAAAAACTCGATCAGAACCCTTGAGAAGCCATTTTAGAAAAAACCTATCTTGTTTCTATCGAAAGTTATTCAAAAAATAACCAAACTTTTTCTTTTTTGAAATGGGTATTAGTCATCCTTCAAAAGTATCTACTCATATCAACGATTTTTCAAAAAACTCAAATACTTCTCACGATTCGTCTTGTTTTTTGTGAAAAAAATAAACCACTGAGCCAGTGTCAGTTCAATATCAAAATTTAGTTATTGAAAATATCTCTTACTATTGATACGATCGCTGAACCATGTTTTCTACACTCATGTTAAGATAAAAAATAAACATTAGTGAATGTAACGAGGCAATGTCACTTACATTTTTGAAAAAAAAAGAAGTTGACAGAATCTAAGAATATTAATAAAAAAAATAAAAAGTTAAAAAAACCTTAAAAAAGTAAAAAAAAAAAAAAGAACAGCAAGAAAGTTTTTCGTATATAACTCGATGAACTCTATGCAACATGGACGAAAAGAGAAAAATAAATCTTGCTAGTAATTTCAGTTGTTGGAACATTATATACACTGCAAATATATTAAAACTTAAAGATCTCAATCAGCACATTTCATAAACAGTTTCTATTTTAACGCATAAAAGTTGAATGTCCTTCTCAAAGAACCTTATGAGAATTGATTTAACAATTTATCTTATTGAGAAGCCAGTTAAAATGTGTCCCTTTTTTCAATTAATAGTCTATCAGGCCATCACTATTCGTTTTTAGATATAGAGTTCTGTTAAATTTTTAAAATCAACCATCATAATATTCTTTGGTAGAAATATAAGGCTTTGGAAGGTTCAATTTCTCAGTTCGATGGTGAGACTTTTAAGTTCAATCGAATATGTTAAATACTTTCGAACTACAATTCTCGGAGATAGATGCATATATTAAGAAAAGATGTAAACAAATTTATATTTTCAGTCAAACTCTATTTCAATTTCTTGATCTGATTCATGAGTCGACTACAAAAGAGACGTAGTTATGAAAGCAGCTGCACATGTATCTTTTTTCACTAAAATTAACCATGTTAGATTAAATCAATATAAAGTGACTTCTTTTTTAATGGAAATCAAACCAACAGTTGAACTATCAGACTTTAATTGCTTCTATTTGAAAGTTAATGAAGAAATTGGTGTTGAATCGAATAAAGCTAACAAAAATATTAAATATCTACAAAAGGTTTTAAAGACTACGGATATTTTTAGACGAGATTGTAGTACCCTGAGAATCAGAATAAAACATAAAAGTTCCATTAGAATGATGAAACGGTTACAGAAATTGATGTAGTTCAAATTCATTGATTAAAAGTGACATTTTAATCAAGCAATCGCAATGACTTTTACTTTCAATAAAAACGATGGAATAAAATTAATGATAGTGTCCCTTTTAATCAATGAATTTGAAATACATCTATTTTTATATCCTTGTCATTATTTTAATGCAATTTTATTTTTTTGTTTTTCAAGTCTCTAAGTAACAATGGGTAACATACATACAAACATCTTCTCTATAGTAGAAAGAAGATGTTCATAGCAATGTTCTATATATTACAAGCCTCAAATCTATATTTTCTTTTCGTTCATCAATATAAAAAGTATTGTTTTTTAATTAGTGATACATAGTTGAGTATTATAATCAATGATAAAAATAAATTTATGATTAGAATTGGTTACAAAACAAGATTATTTAATGATGTTTTACTATTAAATGAACATTCTTTGTATTCTATATCAATATGAAAAAAAGACTAATTGATTCATTATAATTAAGTTTCATTGGTAATGTTGATATCGTGTCTTCTTGGACACGTTGGAAAAAGAGCCCGGTAAAAATCAGGCAATGGAGCCCGGTGTGCTTAATTGGCTAAAAATATAAGGCAAAGGAGCCCGGAATTTTTTAACAGTTAAAAACAGGCAAAAGAGCCCGGTAAAAAAGTAATTAAGTAGAGAACAGGCAATAGAGCCCGGAATATTTTTATTAGTCCTGAGAGAGACAACAGATCTGCAAGTAAAACATTGTATAATAAGTTAGTTAACTTCAGACAGCCAAATTTAATAGAAGAAGTAAAATTACATAAATTAACAAAAAAAATCATAATACAGTATTAATGCTCACATGAGTAGTACTTTAATGAAAATCAGTCTTTTGACAAAGCATATTTTGCTTTCTTTATTCTACCTTTATTTCTCCTTTTCCCAATGAGCAGCGGGATTTTTCGAACACCCCACATTATCATAAGACCAGTTGTGTGGACACAGTAATATTCTTTTAGGCCACATTCACAGGAACAAAAAAATGGGTGGCAACGTTTGTGAGTAATCTAAAATTCGAGCCGAGTTAAGCCAATCTTTAAATTGGTCATATGTTTGCCAATCCATAGAATAAAGGAGGCTCACCCATGTATTTGTATTCATTTTTGCATTTGTTGGCGGTACAACAAATGTAAATGCATTCAACTGTAGTATTTGTGATTTATCAACTTTTTGTAACCATTCATAAGCTTTTGAATCAATTTTATCATCAAGAGTGATATGTGTTTGAAATGGATGCTCCAGAACAGAAATTGACCAGTCTCGTAGCATCCGTTCAGCAGTTGACATTAAGACACCCAAAGGTAACTTATTTCTCATCGTGTACTGTTGTTTAATACGTCCATTAAGACTTTCGAATCCATTGTTCGTTGAGGGTGTCATTCGTGCAGCTCCTTCAAATCAAAAGCATAGATCTGATAGTCAGACTGGGTGATCAGCCATGACTGAAACTGGTGCATCCCTAAACATGATGTTTATCTTTATCTTTTCGTTTTCCTTCTACTGATCTACTTTCCTCTGTTTACTAGATTTATATGTATATGTAAATGTACATAGAAACATTCCTGGCTCTTTTACCTGTTCTCTACTTAATTACTTTTTTACCGGGCTCTTTTGCCTGTTCTCTACTTAATTACTTTTTTTACCGGGCTCTTTTGCCTGTTTTTAACTGTTAAAAAGATTCCGGGCTCCTTTGCCTTATATTTTTAGCCAATTAAGCACACCGGGCTCCATTGCCTGATTTTGCCGGGCTCTTTTCCCATTTTTTCCGTGTCTTCTTGATTGCGGACGAAAATCAAAGCAATTAGCATACCGACAGTATGGGTGAGGGCTGAAATTTTGTCCGCAATTAAGAAGTAGCCATCAGAACTGTAATTGTTTGTTGAAGATAACATCTTGCAAATATTTCTTGTCCTTGTCGCATAGATAGGATAAATAAATCAGTATTTTCCTGTTTTGCTAATGTTTGTATATTTGATGATAATTGTTTATCAAACGAATCATTCAATACACGTACTTTTTGTTGTAACTACAACAATAATTAATCGAAGTGAAAAAGAAATAACGGAAAAAATTTAACATGCCGAACAATCCTGGTGAATAACACAACGAGACGCATGAGAATATTACGTTGCTCTGCTTCATGAAGAAATGATATTCAACTTGTTGTGTATTTAATTTCAATTTTATTAAAAATTTTGATTGTATGAAAGTTTATTAGCACTATTGATTAGTCAATCTAGCAAATAGTAGATTCAGAATTCTCATGGGAGAACGACGTTGTCTAAAGGACACATGCTGAGATAGTGTCAGTTTTTTTTCCAAAGTCAGTCAGCTGGTGTGTGCGTGAGCTTACAATTCTCTGTACTATGTTTATACAAAAAAATCTACAAACTTATGAACGAATAGCTTTTATTAAAACAAAACAGTGAGTCATAAAGCTCACAGATCTAGACGACGATAATTTTTATAAATTTTATCAGTAGCAGAATCAACTTTTTGTCTAAATTCTGATCACTATACATCATAGCTAATTTCTTCTGTCTTATTTATGATTTTGTTGTCAGAGAGATGTTTCATGCGATAACTACCGAGATAATGCTGTCGGTTATATCAATCGGTACAATATGTACTATACTAGTGGTTTTTGAAGTATTGTATCACGGTGCATTGTATTGAAATGGATAAATATTTTTGAAAAATAAAGAGTTTGATTTGTGATAGGAAATATTCTAGAAGGTACATATCCCTTTAGATTTTTGGATCTGACAAACACAAACGCAGAATCATATACAATTTCCGTGCTTTGGATATTCAATTTTAATATTTTATTCATAGAAAAAGTGAGAAAGTAAAAGGTCAAAAAAATATAAAATGCATAGCTAGGAGATGAATGTTCAGTGTTATTAGTGAAAGTTTGAAACTTGCGTTCTGAGTTTAGATGAATTGTTTAATGATGTAAATTTGTAATGCACTCCAGGTTGTAATATAATTTGACATCCTGCTCTAACTTGTGTTCCTTCTAAGGAGAAGCTTTTTATAACTGTATCTGTTATATCCATTTCATCTTCTGTTGGTGGAGAAAGAACATCGACTGGTATCGTTTCCACTGTACCAACACATGTACAACATGATAATTTTTCTTGACACGCTGCTTCGACAATTCCATGTTCTGCAAGAACTGTTGCTAATGTCATTTTCGAGTCATTTAAGTTGACGTTAATTTTATTAGGTACACTATTCTCTCCAATAACTTCAATCGTTACTTGACCGTTCATCTTACAAAAAGTCTTTTTAGTTTTTGATACATGAGCTGCTGCCATCTTTTTAAGTTCTTTGATAAACGAATAGTCTTCATTTAGAAGAATTCTAGATTCAGGAGTTAAAGCTGTTTGGATAATATCATTTGTTAACCAATAAAATTTCTGTTCAGGTTTTAATCTATTTAAATCAACTTTAATCAATGAATTATTATATTTTTTTCCATGCATAAAACGGTTTATTCTTAATAATACTGAATTTTTTTCCAATCCAATTACTTCCATTTTACCATATTCTGTTGACATAATAAGACGACCATGATTTTCTATTCCTGAAAGACCAATTTTTGCTTGTTCAACTAGTTTATACTGTACTTCAATTGTATTTTCTTTACGAAAATATTTATGACCAATAATTTCTCGACATGCATAAATATTATGCATTGTAATGGATAATCTATTCGTCCAATACATAAGTAATCGTAATATATCAGGAGAATCATTGATTCCAGCAATTATAGGAAATTGATTGATGTGTCCAATCCAAGTCCTTCGTTCATTCATAGCATTCAATACATGTTTGATATTATCACGAACATGATATTCTGCATGAATATCATATTCATATTCGCCTTGTGCATTAGTCTTTGGATCTATCAATTCATATGGATGTACATAATGTCCTACAAATTCTATACGTATGTCATTATAGTATTTATGAAATAAATCTAATGCATTCCAAAAATCTTTGTCAAATCTGTCTGGATTAAATACTAATTCTTTCGTACCAATTCGTATAGTTTTTATACCAGCTTCAGCCATTAAAACCATATATCGTATAAGAGTACTATTTGGTAAATTCATTGGATCACCACCAGAAAAAAGAATTTCACGAATATGAAATAAAGATTCACCTGATTTTTTATGAACCCATACTCGAGTTTTTTCATCCCAACAACTGTCCTCTTGTTTAACTTTATCAATAAGGTTATTAAAGGTTTTTATATAGGAAGCTACTTGTAGCATATTTGCTTTTTCTTTAGATGATATACCGGAGAACAAGTCTAATCTATAACAATATCTGCAATGTGATGAACAATTGATAGAAACATATGCTAAAAGCATTTCATATTTGTGTAACAAACCAGGCACAAAAGAAAAACGATTTTGATTAGATGGATCATTTTCTCCAACAGTATCATTAATTTCGTCAATTTTTGGCATGACAACTTTTAATATTGGATTTGGATGTTTTGCATTTGTTGGTATATTAAGTGCATGTTTAAGATATGCTGCAGATACTTTTACTCTCATTCGTTGTTGGATATTATCAGCATTTTGAAATAGAAGTGCATGTTCTTCTGCAGTATAGAAATGAGGATAATGATCATTGATTGATGACAATAAATTAACAACTTCTTTAATACCAACATAACCTTCTCCACTTTTACCACCACGAGAATAGAGTTTATTCGATACGTTCATCACATGATTAATAACAAATTGTCCTTTTTGCGAAATTTGAAATATATGATTAAAGTCATTGTTCCAAGTATTATCATAAGTTAAAAAATCTTGTAATTTTCGGTCATCATTATAAAAGCCTTTTTGTCTTAATCGTTTCTTCCATGTTGGCTCAATAGATCCAAGTAGTGTTTGCGGAAAATTATTTTTCTCATTGATTACATGAGCAGTTTGAAGTGTGTTTAAACATTTCCTTTGTTGATAGCAAAATAAAAAACTATAATCACTAAATAAGAGCAACCTAATATCTTGCTCAATTGCCGAAGAAGTAAAAAAGTTCACAATGTATCGACTATGCATAAGTCAAGCTTGGTAAAATTGTCAATGGTGAAGACCAACCATAAATATTAAATAAAAAAAAAACAAGTCGAAGGTTGCCGATAATCTATGTATTAAAATTCGTATCTGAAATTATATTAAGATTTTTTTCATCATGAAAAATACAAACTGTGACTAACTTCAAAATAAACAGTACTGGCGTAGGCCTATTGGACGAAAAAAAATCTCTTACTGCTGAAACTTTTTAAAAATATACAGCTCAACAAGGTGATCTTCCTATAAAATCGAGTATTGTTTCTAGTCAATTACTAAAGATAGGAAAACTGGTCTCAGTTAGATTTCATACTAAGCATCATATTTTCGCATAGGTTCTCTCAAATATCCTGAACTTAATACACTCGACGATTAATACATTAAAAAAAGAAAATTTGCAGATGAACACTTTTTACATCTACAAATGGTGTCTGCGCAAGATGAAAAGTATTGAAGTATTACATGTGGCGTCTCCTTCTATGCCTAGATACTTATTTATCATAACTTATTGAATATGAATATGTTCGGTTTCTTCAATGTCACTTGTTTGACTTGAACTGAACTAATGACAGACAGACAAACCAATCTCAGATATGTTTAAGTCTTTTTTTTCTATGATTTTGATATAACTAGTTTTCTTAATCAGTACCAACTGTAGTCTAATACTTGCATCAATGTATATGATACAAATATTTATTCATAAATAAATCATAAAATTTTCTATTTCAATATGGAAATGCGTCGTTGAATACATTTCAAAAAGCTTTTCGCATAATCCTTGAGAAATGAAAATGTGAAACACTATGGAATCCCTTTAGCTCTGATAAAGAAACCTCGACATGTCCAAGCAGTTGGGATTGCAACAAAAACTAACATGTCTAACAATCCTCCTTTGTGTGACAGCCTGTGAGATAGATGGGATAAGTGGATCAAACTTTCTCGCTATATATTCCAATCCTAATTGACAATCGTCTTTCATCAAATGTGGTCCGGCTTTACACTAAATAAGTCTAATCGTTTCCTAAAACAATGAAAATAAACAAAACTGCGACACATCTCTTGGGTGTTCTCTAAACAGAGCATTATTCCGACATTTAACTCAGTATGTTAAAAAAAAAGTAGTGAGTAATTGATGCTGAAATATTTTTGTGTTCACCCACAAGAGTGTAAGATTTCTTTCAAAACACTCATTGAACTCTACAAAAAAAAATCATTCTATTTCTTACTTTCGTTTTCGGAAGAATGAAAATTGAAATGTTCGGTTTCCTACAAATGGATACAATACTGAACAATACTTTATACAGTCTTCTTATTCTAACAATAAGTAGAAATTATACAAGGACGCTTCGCATGCTAAAGAAAATGTACAAAGAGCTAAAAGCATCGGTCACTTCCATTTCTCTAGAGAATTCGAAATGTTGCCAATTCAGAAGCTTTATATATATATATATATATATATGTGTGTGCAATGTGGTGACTGAAATACTTCATTTCTAAAATAAGTAGTACATATTTGTACAATGACGACTTACGCATTAGTAAGTGCGCAAAACAAATGAATGAAATCTGTCACTTCCGTTCTTCTTGAATATGCAATAGTTAGTCATAATTTTTTGCGCAAACACATGAAAAAATAAACAATTTTGTCAACAACTCATTTGAAGAATACTGATAGACTGCATGACACTGTGTCGAACGCTTGAGAAAATGCGTAAAAACATCAATTGCATTCTGTACTTCCGTTCTTCTCAAAAATTCACTAGTTCACTAACAATGGAAGGATGTGTATTATAAGTTAGAGAAATTGGACATATGCGGATCAAAATGAAGCTCTCACTGTCAAACTAACAAATTGAAAATATGGCGTGCTTAAGACCTGCGTAAGTTGATATATTCGGATGTCAAGCTATTTAGTGTTTAGATATAAAAACGAGGAAACATCTCAGACGAGTAAACGATGGATAAAAGGACAGATCATTTTTCTAGTTGTCACTGTATGTCATGTCTAGTGTTTTTGTCAAAGAGTGCTTGCATCTGACTAGTCCAAAATCATCTGCAGTCTACCGGTCAGGTCCTGACTAATTTACTGAAGGTATGGGGGTAACACTCTCTAATGCACGAAACCCATGTTCAAACTCGACACATACACCATGCACACACTCACACCCTATTATTGGTCCCAAAATATTATAAATATACAATAAAAGTAAGAAATGAATCATAGCATAATAATATTGACAATAATATTATATGATTCTTACTGTTTAATCTCGCAAAATATTTTGTTTAATCCATATATCAGGTATCAGTCCTGGAATTATATAAGGGCTTGTACCATACATATTTAATGTATCACTAAATGCGTAGAGTATCGAAGAATATTTCTCTGTTTTAATGAATGAATAAAAATTTATTTGACTATATCTATTTATATACGATCCTATGTTGATTATAATATGACAAATATTAGTAATAAAGAATGCCTACGATATAACTAAAAATGAATAATTAAGCTGTTGAAGGCGTTTAAACAAAAGCTATAGTTGAAAATTTCTTCTTCTCTGATTTCTAATGATTCGATGTGTATGTTTCCTCATACATTAAGTAATTTTATTTCGAAAGTAACTCTGTGCTTTATTCATCATTTTCCTATGGAATTTTTTCTGACGTAATATTCAACTGGTTATTCTTCTTGACGTCAATGACTAAATATGTTTTACACGTAAAGAATACATACAAATAATCATCGCATATCATGACTAATTTTTTAACGTGCCCAAGTAAATAACGTTTTTTTTTTCTCTCATCTGCTCGTTAATCTTATTCAACAAAAATGTATACTAACATTAATTTAAGGAATACACTAAAAGCAAGTGTTTCATATTTTTTAAAGCAATTTTTGATTTAAAAAGATAATCATAAATTAAACAAACAATTGCTTCGTACTAATAAGAAAAGAACGTTCAATAAGATTGTATCAATTCATTTATCATTTAATCACAGAGGCTTGAATAAACCTTCCATCAATAAAATCAATGAGTGCAAATTGAACGTATAGTGATAACGGAGTTGTTTTACTATATCTGGATATTCGTTCAATATTTATTTTCATTTATGGAAGAGGATTAGAAAACTACACAACGGTCAATGTATCCATTTTATTTCGATTTATGAGCAATATAAACTATGTTAAAACTTTCTTATTTATTATTGATTATAAAACAAACAACTCTAGGAGTGACTGATATTTTAGAACACATTTTAGTAAAAATAATTTTGTGTTTAAAATCTTGCTATATCCTACAAGCTATTTGAGAGTTATTCGTATATTTAGAAAAGATTTTTATTAAATGTCTTAGCTCAAATACCTGATATTTTGAATTAAGCAATTCTTTCTATATAATGATATCCATAGAAAATCTTGTATAACAAATTGTGTTTTCCATACAAATAATATCTATGATAGAATATTAATGATTGCAAGAGTAAGAAGTAAACGACTCATTGATATAATGTTTATATCAGTAAATGTATCAGATGAAAATGACTGTTGACAAACATTTTCCTCAAACTATTGTCTTTCTTTTTCATACAATCACTATTCACAAATAACAATTTTATATGCATTACGCTTAAAAGCTGGTTCACTAAGAGTTAAACTATAGTAGACTTTGTCAATTACATTTTCTAAAAGATCAGTAACCGAATTTCAACATCTATAGAAGTATCTAGTAATCTGGTGCATGATTTATTTTGCGATTTGAACGAATAATAATTTCGACTACCATTAGAAATTTCACCAAAATACAAATCGTCTAATGATGAGCCAGCAAGAATATCAACACGACTACAAGATAATTTTCCATTTTTGATGTCATCGATTCTTGAAAAAAAGCATCTTAGATTTTTATATTGTTAAACCAGATACTAGATTTGTCGTATGCATTGCTACTAGTACCAAAATTAACATATAGAAACCTGTAGTTGATAATCGTCTTGCAGCTGTCTCAATCTGAAAATCTGCATCATATCCCATAATAATACTAACAAAATATCAGGTACTCATCGCACCAGAAGAAAAAAAGAAATGTTGCTCGCTGCACATGCATAGAATATCTAGCTCAAAATTTTCGCGATTACTCTCTCACGTAGATGCGACTTCCTAGTGAATAGAATTTTGAGATGTCACTCACACAGATACTCGAAAGGCAACCTCCCTGACAATGTGAAAACTCAAGTTGAAGTAGATGATTAGGCCAGACCTACTGATTCAAGTCAAAAAATCGTAGGTTTGAACGTTTTAAGAAAGCCTCAATAGATCAACAGCTTACTAGGACATTTCAAACCACTCTGAATCGCATTACAATAAATCACATTGCTGATCGGTTTTGTAGAATCACAAACATCAGAGAGTCTATCATATATATTCACACCAGTAGATACTGTCATTATTTAAGGTATGTGATCTATCCAAATATGGACGCAGTTTGTGCGTCTAGAGAGATCAACTCAAGAAGTATTTAGAGTAGTTGAAAAGTTCTCGTAGTAGCAGTCTAAAATTTCATTCTGATTGTTTTTATTCTTGATTTTAGTCTATTCTAGTAGAAAAATCTGTTTATGTATCAAATTGCCAATACAAACTTTCGCCA